AGACTTATAGGCCTATAGTTTTTCAAACATGTAGGATTCAGGACCTTGGGAATCAGGGAGATAATAGTATGATTAATGGATTTCAGCATGCAACCAGACACAAAAAAATCTTGGATTGCCTGGGTTACATCCTTCTTGATCACATTCCAGGATCTTTGAAAGAACAGGGGGGTCATACCATCTACACCTGGTGCTTTATCCGGGTTCATGGAAAAAATGGCAGATCTTATCTCTTCCTCAAGAACTGGTCTGGTCAGATTGAAATTCATCTCCTCAGTAATAGAATGAGTAATACCCCTTAAAACCTCAGAACTATTTCCCACCCCATCACTGGCAAATAGATTTTTATAAAACATGGACATCTCATCCACAAGATCCTCCTCATTCTTTGTCCAAGAACCATCATCTCTTTGGACACTAGAGATTCTATTCCTGTTCCTCCTACCTCTCACAGACGCGTGGAAGAATCTAGTGTTCTTATCACCCTCTCTAAGCCATTGTACTCTAGCTTTTTGGCTCCAAAAAGATTCCTCCTCCCTAAAAGCCTTCTTCAGTTGTTCCTTCAGATAATTCCTTATGACCCCTTTGTTCTCCAAATTAGACCTCTCATTGTTTTCCAGTTTGCTCTTGATGTCCTTAATGCTAACCTTAGAATTCGCTTGGAAGGTGTTTTTCCACTTTAAGATTTCCACCCTACAATTTCTCACTTTCCTGGTCACTGTAAACATTTTAGTTCCTTGTTCCTCCTTACTCCAGGCCTTCTCAATAACTTGTTGAAAACCATCCTTCTGAGGCCATCTCCTGTCAAAGTAAAATCTTTTATTCTTTTTCTTATACGCAGGCTTAGTGTCCAACATTATCAAACTATGATCATAAGCATAAGACTCTATGTGCTTACAAACCGCCCCCTCAAACTTCTGGCTCCACTCACAGCTACTAAGGCATCTATCTAATCTTTGCCTTATTTCCCCTAAATTATCCCAATGGTTGCTCCAAGTCCAGGGGTGACCCTCGTAGCCTAAGTCCACTAAACTATTTTCTGCAATAAAGTCCTTAAAGGCCATGAAACTCTTCTCCTCTCTCTGGACACCCCCCATTTCTCTTCATTAGAAATAATATCATTAAAATCTCCAGCAATCACATATTTCTCCCCCCCACAATCTTTTCCTTTCCTTTAACACCTTCCACTGCTGTTTTCTAACTTGATCATCACAGTTAGCATACACTCCTATGAACCACCACTCATTCTGTGGTTCTCTACCTCTATTTTAGCTTCAATGGTAAAAGCTGTTTGGAGAGTGGTTAAGATTCTAACCCCATCATTCCAAAACAGGCACATACCACCTGATCTATGCATAGCTTCAGTAACCACACTATTGTCAAACCTTAACCAGCTTTTAACTCTGGCCATGTACTGCTCCCTATTCTTAGTCTCACTCAGAAAAATAATGTCTGGAGAGAAGAGGTTGTTAACCTCCCTCAGCTGGGGAATTGTCAAGGGGCTCCCCACTCCTTGACAATTCCACACCACAACCCTCATAAGCACTTGGGGGCCCCATTAAGAAAGGGCCCCTCCTCCTCTTGGTTAGGCTCTAGAACCACCATCATCTCAAAGGGTTTAGCTTTCTTACAGGTTTGACTAATACTTACCTCGCAATCCATTTCATCATCTTTCAGCATTGTTTTCCTCTTTCCCCCACCAATCTGAATATTTCCTTGCCTATTTAGCTCTCTCAAAGGTCTTCTAGATTTGATAGGGGCAGACACCTTTCTATTCAACCTAGCTGACTGCTTCCTAATAGCCTCCTGCACTTTCCCATTATTATTAAACATCTCCTGTATCAGCATCTCTCCCTTTAGATCTCCCTCCAAATTGCCACCATTACTAACATCTGGTATAGCAAGAGAGCTATCCTTCTCCATCTCAGTACTACTTTCTACAATGGGGGTCTTGGCTGCTCCAACTACTAGAGCTCCTTCCTGTTCATTCTTATCCCTCTCAGCCTGTTCCTGCACCTCTTGTTGCCTGTGTGAGCCCCCTGTGTGTTCTTCCTCCTAAAAGAGGCCAGACTCTTCACCCTTAATCCTCATCCTATTCAGGTCTTTAGAAAGGTTTTGACGATCATGCCTCTCCCTCTCCAAGACCTTATTCAACTCTAGTTGGTTCTTTTCCAGGACACTACTCGGCTGGGCTATTTCAACTAAATTTCCATTGAGGAACTTCCAGTAACGTTTATCCTTATCCACCTCAGGTCTGGTTTGCTTGGTTTGTGGTGAGCTCTTAGTGTTTCCTGCTCTCAACCAGGGGCCATACTGATTATCCACATTTCTTCCTAAAAAAACTTGCTGAAAGGTGCAAGTTCAGACTTATAGGCCTATAGTTTTTCAAACATGTAGGATTCAGGACCTTGGGAATCAGGGAGATAATAGTATGATTAATGGATTTCAGCATGCAACCAGACACAAAAAAATCTTGGATTGCCTGGGTTACATCCTTCTTGATCACATTCCAGGATCTTTGAAAGAACAGGGGGGTCATACCATCTACACCTGGTGCTTTATCCGGGTTCATGGAAAAAATGGCAGATCTTATCTCTTCCTCAAGAACTGGTCTGGTCAGATTGAAATTCATCTCCTCAGTAATAGAATGAGTAATACCCCTTAAAACCTCAGAACTATTTCCCACCCCATCACTGGCAAATAGATTTTTATAAAACATGGACATCTCATCCACAAGATCCTCCTCATTCTTTGTCCAAGAACCATCATCTCTTTGGACACTAGAGATTCTATTCCTGTTCCTCCTACCTCTCACAGACGCGTGGAAGAATCTAGTGTTCTTATCACCCTCTCTAAGCCATTGTACTCTAGCTTTTTGGCTCCAAAAAGATTCCTCCTCCCTAAAAGCCTTCTTCAGTTGTTCCTTCAGATAATTCCTTATGACCCCTTTGTTCTCCAAATTAGACCTCTCATTGTTTTCCAGTTTGCTCTTGATGTCCTTAATGCTAACCTTAGAATTCGCTTGGAAGGTGTTTTTCCACTTTAAGATTTCCACCCTACAATTTCTCACTTTCCTGGTCACTGTAAACATTTTAGTTCCTTGTTCCTCCTTACTCCAGGCCTTCTCAATAACTTGTTGAAAACCATCCTTCTGAGGCCATCTCCTGTCAAAGTAAAATCTTTTATTCTTTTTCTTATACGCAGGCTTAGTGTCCAACATTATCAAACTATGATCATAAGCATAAGACTCTATGTGCTTACAAACCGCCCCCTCAAACTTCTGGCTCCACTCACAGCTACTAAGGCATCTATCTAATCTTTGCCTTATTTCCCCTAAATTATCCCAATGGTTGCTCCAAGTCCAGGGGTGACCCTCGTAGCCTAAGTCCACTAAACTATTTTCTGCAATAAAGTCCTTAAAGGCCATGAAACTCTTCTCCTCTCTCTGGACACCCCCCATTTCTCTTCATTAGAAATAATATCATTAAAATCTCCAGCAATCACATATTTCTCCCCCCCACAATCTTTTCCTTTCCTTTAACACCTTCCACTGCTGTTTTCTAACTTGATCATCACAGTTAGCATACACTCCTATGAACCACCACTCATTCTGTGGTTCTCTACCTCTATTTTAGCTTCAATGGTAAAAGCTGTTTGGAGAGTGGTTAAGATTCTAACCCCATCATTCCAAAACAGGCACATACCACCTGATCTATGCATAGCTTCAGTAACCACACTATTGTCAAACCTTAACCAGCTTTTAACTCTGGCCATGTACTGCTCCCTATTCTTAGTCTCACTCAGAAAAATAATGTCTGGAGAGAAGAGGTTGTTAACCTCCCTCAGCTGGGGAATTGTCAAGGGGCTCCCCACTCCTTGACAATTCCACACCACAACCCTCATAAGCACTTGGGGGCCCCATTAAGAAAGGGCCCCTCCTCCTCTTGGTTAGGCTCTAGAACCACCATCATCTCAAAGGGTTTAGCT